AGTCGTCTTCGTGGGAAATTGCTGCTGCTGCACTACTTGCTGATCTACTTTGGGTGGCGGCACTATTCACCAGCAGCCCATTCATTCAATCAACTGCAAAGTGTGTGTACAATGCTGCCGTACACAGACTGCATCGTCTGTTTCCGTGATGATCTGTGTGTGTATTTGTGTCTTCTCCTTCGGTGAACACCACCAGCCACTAGCCAGGCTTTTGAACTTGGCGCCGCCAGCAGCCTTTTTCTTTGAACTACATCGCTTTCGTCTCTAGCCAATCAGTGTGTGATAGGCGACAATGTGGAGTTTACTGCCCTTGTTGATTGCTTCTCTCTTGGTCAGCCTCACTGGTGGTCATGTGGAGTTTGTGCCACTGGATCGTCGTGAGGCGTACGAGTACAGGGTGGGCATATCTCGAGCTAGAGAATCTCGACCATCGCCACCACCAGTAAATGGCAATCATCGGTGGTCTGCTGTACAACAGTCGACAACACCTTTGCCAACACCTCCAAAACATGTTTGGCTGCCCGACTCTAGAGTTTACAGTGTTCAGAGAGTTGCGGATGATGGAAGTAGCCAGAGGAATCGACATTCACAGTGGCCTCTGGTCGATTCTAGAATTCCGCCTTCAGATGATAGAAAGTATCCTCAGTATCCGCCTTACTATGAGATGTTCATTCCGCACGACTACGATCTGCCGGAGTACATTGGTAAACTGTAAAAGTAGTGCAAATCTTTTGCTTTTACAGGTTTTCTCGCTTCATTTTCTAACTAACTTTCTTATTCTCCAGAATTCAACAAGGCCATCTACCCGAACGTCTTCAATCTCGCCCCGGGGTCGATCATCACAGTGAACGCCACCTGCGGCGAGATGGGCCCTGAGGTGTACTGTCACCTGGTGAACCACGTCCCGGCCGGGGACGGCGGCAGCGGAAACGGCTCCTGCAGTGTCTGCGACCGCTTTCGGAGCCAGTCTCAGCACCCCATTGAGAACGCCATCGACGGCACCGACAGTTGGTGGCAGTCGCCGACGCTGCAGAATGGCAAGCGTTTCGAGTGGGTCACCGTCAACATCAACCTCCGTCAGGTTTATGAGGTGGCCTACCTCATTCTCAAGTCGGCCAACAGTCCGCTGCCGGCCAACTGGATCCTCGAGCGGTCCGTCGACGGCGTCACCTTCACCCCCTGGCAGTACTTTGCCGGCAGTGACACCGAGTGCTGGGAGCGGTATCGAGTGCGACCCACTACCGGCAAGGTCCGCTACCGAACTGATGATGAGGTGATTTGCACGTCGTTCTACTCGAAGCACGACTCGCTCTCAAATGGAGAGGTGCACGTACAGCTGGTCACCGGTCGACCCAGTGCCGAGGATCCCAGTCCGACGCTGAAGGACTTTGTGCGGGCGCAGTACATTCGCCTGCGACTGCAGAAGATTCGTTCCCTCCATGGGGGCCTCTTCTACGATGCCGCTGATCTGGACAAGGCCGACAAGAGTGTCACCAGAAGGGTAAGAGTTGGATCATTGAATGAAAGATATTTTAAATAGTGGGTAATTTATCTTCTTTTACTTTCAGCTGTTTTACTCTATCAAGGACATCTCCATTGGTGGGAAGTGTCTTTGCAATGGACACGCTTCGGAATGCGCCGCTCCGGAGCGGTTGCAGCAATTTTCTGGATCTTCTCGTTCCTCATCAAGTTCCACCACCTCAGGCCTCCCCAAATGCGCTTGCGAGCACAACACCGACGGCCGCTCATGTGAGAAGTGCCTGCCGCTGTTCAACCAGCGCCCCTGGGCGCCAGGCAGCAAGTCAAATGCTGGCGCCTGCGAGCAGTGCCAGTGCTACGGCCATGCGGATAGCTGCCACTTCGACGCGACCGTCGCCGAACGGCACCTCTCGGTCAACACCGAGGGCGCCTACGAGGGCGGCGGCGTCTGTCTGAACTGCAAACACTCGACGACGGGCGTCAACTGTGAGCAGTGCCTGGACGGGTACTACCGACCGGAGGGGGTGGCACCGGACTCGAAGGAGCCCTGTCGGAAGTGCGCCTGTCCGGCGCCGGGCATGAGTCGGCACTGTGTGAAGGACGACAGTCACCAGATTGAGGGCCGACGCCCCGGGGACTGCCTCTGTCGAGAGGGCTTTGAGGGGGTGAAGTGTGACCGCTGTGCACGGGGTTATCGAAATTATCCTCGTTGTGACCAGTGCAACTGCGTCTTTGCCGGCAGCGTCAACGGCGAGTGTGATGGCCCCTGTCAGTGCAAGGAGAATGTCTTTGGATCGAGATGTGGCGAGTGTAAGGTAGGAGTGTAAATTAATTTTTGAGTTGATTTTTTGTACTGATAACTTTGAATTTTTTTTTAGGACGGCCACTACAACCTGGCGGTGGACAACCCCGACGGCTGCTCCAGCTGTTACTGCTTCGGCGCCACTGACAAGTGCAAACCGAGCGACTGGGGCATTGAGATTGTGCGCAGCCCCGAGGACTGGCTCATCACCGACGTGCCCCGTTCCTTCAGCAAACAGCCCAACCGAGAGGAGTCGCCCACCGACGGCCACCGATGGGTAGTGGCCGACGATGAGATTCCCAGCCGGGCACAGCAGCTGTACTACTGGGAGGCGCCCAAGGAGTACCTCGGCCAGAACCTCTACTCATACGGAAACAGCCTCAAGTACGTGCTCAACTACGTGGTCGGCCGCGGGGACACCTCGGGTGTGTACACTGACGACCCTGATGTCATTCTGGAGGGCGGCATTCCTGACGGCCTGCGCATTGGCTACAAGTGGCACAAGCCGACGGACACTGGCGATGACAACATCAAGTCGACCATTATCATGCCCTTGCGAGAGCAGGGCTGGTTCAGAGTGGACGACGAGGGCCGCAAGGTGCCCGGCGAAAACTCGCAGCCCACGCGCGAAGAGTTCACCCTTCTCCTCTACAACCTCAAGCGACTGCTGGTGCGGGCCAAGTTCCACACCGACCAGCTGGAGGGCGGCCTCTACCAGATGGACCTGGAGCGGGCGTCGAACGTCTCGAAGAGCGTGAAGAAGGCGGTCGGCACGGAGCAGTGCGACTGTCCGCCCGGATACGCCGGCCTCAGCTGCGAGTACTGCCAGCCGGGCTACCGCCGGGTGAACAACCAGCTGGTGAACGGCGTCTGCGAGAAGTGCAACTGCAACAACCACGCCCTCAGCTGCGACCCCTACACCGGCGCCTGCAGTGAGTGTCTGCACAACACCACCGGGCCGACCTGTGGCGAGTGTAAGCCGGGCTTCTACGGGGACGCCACCCGAGGCACGGAGGACGACTGCAAACCGTGCGCCTGTCCGCTGCTCATTCCCTCCAACAACTTTTCGCCGACCTGCCGAGCAGAGCCGACGGCCAAGTACGGCTATGTCTGTCTGGAGTGCCCGGAGGGCTACGAAGGCGAGCGCTGCGAAATCTGCGCCAACGGCTGGTTCGGAAATCCGCTCATTCCGGGCGGTTTCTGCGCCCCCTGCGACTGCGGACCGAATGCGAACACCACCGTGGAGGGCTGGTGCGACCACCTGACCGGGCAGTGCAAGGTCTGCACGGGGAACACCGCCGGCTGGAAGTGCGACGAGTGTCTGCCTGACCACTGGGGCAACCCCGCCATTGGCGACTGTCGCGCCTGCAACTGCAACCCGAAGGGGTCGAAGACGCAGCAGTGCAACATGCTCACCGGCCAGTGCGAGTGCAAGCCCAACTACACGGGGGTGAAGTGCGACCAGTGCGCCCCTGGCTACGGCAACCTCGAGCTGGACTGTCCGCCCTGCAAGTGCAACGTCACCGGCGCCGTCGATGGCATCTGCGACCCGGAGACGGGCGTCTGCACGTGCAAGCCGGGCGTCTTTGGGCAGTACTGCGACCAGTGTCTGGAGGGACACTATGGCTTCAGCAGTGATGGATGCAAGTGGNGCACGTGCAAGCCGGGCGTCTTTGGGCAGTACTGCGACCAGTGTCTGGAGGGACACTATGGCTTCAGCAGTGATGGATGCAAGTGGTGCAACTGTAATAAGCTAGGGTCGGAGGATCTGGACTGTGATGAGGGCACTGGTGAGTGAGGAGGATTTAGCTGTGGAGAAAGTGGGTTTAAGTTTTCCTTGCTTTTTAGGTCAATGCAAGTGCAAGCCTCATGTGACCGG